GGGACTTGGGCGTATGCCCGAAATTGAATTCCGAGGTCCCAAGATTCAAGAAATGAATTTTTAAAAGAAATTATTTTCTGAAAAATATAAAGGTTTTTGAAAGTGAAATGTTATGTGGAATCTGTGGTATCGGGCTCGTATTATGGTTCCGGAGCCCGATACAGGTTCAATGTGATTTATATGTGTTGTCGGTAAAGTTTGGTAAGAAACGGGATCCATTTGACGTGATTCGGACCTTAAATGCAAAATTTGATGTTTAAAGAAGTTTTGAGAAATTTCATATATTTTGAGGTTTAATTCGTTATTTAAGAGGTTATTTTGGCGATTTGATCGTACGGATAAGTTCATATGATGTTTTTGAGTTAGTACGTATGTTTGGTTTGGAGCCCCGAGGGCTCGGGTGAGTTTCGGATGTGTTTCGCAAGGTTTTGAACTCATAAAAAGTTGCAGGTTTTTCAATTTCTGGAGTTCTGGCATTTTCTTCTTCGCGTTCGCGGGAGGAACCTCGCGAACGCAATAAGTTATTCATGCTGAAGGAAATTTCCTTCTACACGAACGCAAGACCAAGGTCGCGAACGCGAAGCTTTGGGGTGTCTTCCCTTCGCGAACGCGGGCCTGGTATCGCGAATGCGAAGGCTTATGAGCCTAGGCAGGGGGAGGGGTATTATACCTACGCGAACGCGACCACCTGGACGCGAACGCGAAGGCTCAAGGAGTTTGTGCTCCGCGAACGCGAGCCCATTTTCGCGAACGCGAAGGTCTCTCAGGCCTAACTCATCGCGAACACGATGAGCCTATCGCGAACGCGTAGACCAAATTCGCCCAGTTATTTTAAGTTCAAAAACAGAATGTATTACGTGAATTCCACCATTTTTCATAAACTTCATCTTCTCCACACCTCTTGGGCGATTTTTGAAGAGGAACTTCACCATAGCTTCATAGGTATGTAATCCTAAGCTCGTTTTCTTCCATTTTTATCAACACCCACTAGATTTCTAGGCCTAAAACATGAGATTAAGGGTAGAAAATTAGGGATTTGGATAGAGTTAGGGCTTTTGATTATTTGGGAATTTGACCTCGTTTTGGGGTCGGATTTCAAAACAAATTATACATTCGGGTCGCCGGTGAATGGGTCATCGGGTTTTGGTCCGAACCTCGTATTTTGACCAAGCGGGCCCAGGGTCAATTTTTGACTTTTTGGGAAGGATGATGGGAAAGCTATAATTAAGCATTGGAATTGGATTGTTTAGCGTTTATTGATGTTATTAAGTCGATTATGTCTAGATACAATTGATTTGGAGCCAAATTCAAAAGGAAAAGCGGTGTTTGAGGTTTGAGTTGGCCGTGAAAGTTCGAGGTAAGTGTTCGGTCTAACCTTAGCTTGAGGGATTAGGAGTTGTGTCCTATTTGCTATTTGCTTCTTGTTGAGTACGACGTATAGGCATGGTGAAGAGTATCTATACGTTGGTGTCAAGCATGACCGTGAGTCTTAAATTGTGAATTATTGTGTTCTTAAGTAATACTACGGATGCTTAAATTGATGATTCTCGGTATTGAGCAAAAATTTAGATTGTTCTCGTGGAAATTACTTATGATTGAGTATTGGTGTTAGCTGAGAGAGCTAGATGTTGGAACAAGATTAGTTATAGTTGTTTCTCTCTTGCCGGGACGTATTTACTTATACTGTCGATTGCCTTGCCGAGATAGTGTAGTTCCTTATTGATCCCTTGCCGGGACTCTTGTTATGATTGTTGTTGATTGTTATATTTGGATTGGGTTGCACACCGCAACAATAATATAAATGGATCGGGTTGCAGCCGCAACAATAATATAAATGGATTGGGTTGCACGCCGCAACAATGATATAAATGGATCGGGTTGCACGCCGCAATAATAGTATAAATGGATCGGGTTGCACGCCGCAAAATGATATAAATGGATCAGGTTGCACGCCGCAACAATAATATAAATGGATCGGGTTAAATGGATTACACGCCGCAACAGTGATATAAATGGATCGGGTTGCATGCCGCAACAATGATACAGTTGGATCGGGTTGCACGCCGCAATAGTGTTAAATGATAGGGATCGGGTTGCGCGCCGCAACAGTGTTATTTTTGATTGCTGTAGATCTTAAATTGTTTTCTTACATTTCTCTTAAATTACTGCTGGACTTGATATTTTTCCCGCAGCATGTACCCCCTCCCATATTTATTTGTTTATTTTTGTTTTATTTTCTGTTGCATATTATATAACTGCACAGGTTTATCTGGAGTCTGGTCCTAGCCTCGTCACTACTTCGCCGGGGTTAGGCCAGGCACTTACCAGCACATGGGGTCGGTTGTGCTGATGTTACACTCTGCACTATGTGCAGATCCCGGAGCAGCTTTTGGACAATAGCACTTGGGGAGGCTGCCTTCAGTCCAGCTAGAGATCCCGAGGTAGTCCTGCAGGCGTCCGCAGGCCCGGCGTTCTCTTCTATCTTATTATGTACTCTGTTTTCATTTGATTTCGAGACATATTATATTTCTTTGAGACATTGGTTGTAGTAATCATAGTCCGTCCGTGATATTGTGACACCAGATTCCGGGTAGAGACGTATGTTGGCAGTGTCGTATTGGTTTTAGCTATTCTATCAGATTAAGTCTTCCGCTTGATTTTCATTTATCGTTAATAGTTCAATGTTGATTACCTGTTAAATTAAATGGTTAAAAAGGGTTAAAATAGAAAAGTTAGTGATTTCTATGTTTCGCGGCTTGCCTAGCTTCTACGAGTAGGCGCCATCACAAATCCCGAGGGTGGAAAATTCGGGTCGTGACATATTCCCAGACTTGGAATCTCAATCAGACAACGATAACACCGAAATGCACTTCAACCCAAACTTATGAAATTCTTCCAAAAATGCTAACTTCCACAATAGGTGCCAAAACATTCCCGGGTCTTCCAAAATCCGATCCGGACACACGCCCAAGTCCAAAATCATCATACGAACCTGCCGGAACCTTGGAATCCCGATTCCGAGGTCGTTTACTCAAAAATCCAAATCTTAGTCAATCCTCTCAACTTAAAGCTTCTGAAATGTGAATTCTCTTTCCAAATCAACTCCGAATCTCCCGGAATTCAATTCCGACCGTGCGCACAAGTCATAATACCTGAAATGAAGCTGTTCATGGCCTCAAACTGCTGAACGACGCGCTAGGGCTCAAAACAACCGTCGGCTCGTTACAATATATATATATATATATATATATATATATATATATATAAGAGAAGTTTTTATTGTATGTATATACTCTAAGAGAAATTTTAATGTAGTGATAAAATAATTTGAAAAATTAGCTTAGGTTGCAAATTAGAATTCAAGTTGTGATATTTTTGGACTTTTTATTTTTGTACAGATAGCGCTGATTTCCATTTTATGACTGCTAATTAAAAAATAACTAGTATTTGTAAGGTAGTTAAAAATAGATACTTTTTAATGCGAAAATAGAATCTGAATAAAAATATTTTTGCCTAAAACACGAAAAAAATCCATCATAATCGAAACTCCTGCATGTAATATTCTAGCAAATTGTGCTAGAGTTCAAAGTCTCCTTGTATGTGAATTCTAGCAACTATGATGGAGTTCGAACTTTCAGAAGTCAAATTCAGAAAAGATAATGGAACTCAAACAAGATACACTCCCATAATTCTTAGTACATGCAGCTTGCTGGAGTACGAAGAAAGCAGAAAAGATTTTTTTTTTTTTTTAAATAAATAAATAAAAGTGAGTCTTTATGCTCATTTAAATTTTAGTATATTTTTGTCATATTATAACCTCATGAAAAAATAACTAATTTAATTAATTTTAAATTATTTTTAACTAGCAGATATAAATCTAAGTAATCGTGAATTTCTTCCTTTATTTCCCTAGTTAGAATTCTTAGTTCCGCCCTGACACCTATATAACAATACTTCACTATAAAAGCTAAGTTTTTTTGGAGTTAATTTTCATGTGATGTTATAATATATGTTCTATATAACAGCATTTCGCTATAACATTCAAAAATATTCGGAACAAACGAAATTGTTATAGAGAAGTTTGACCGTATAATTAGAGTTGATAAGTCCAAAGAAAGCTATTTTAGGAAAGGTCTTTTCCATCAAGAAATTTTGCCATCTTCTAGGTACATGCTAAATTTCTTCTACGTCCCTTCTGTTCTTGACAATTTTCATTCCAAAAAGATCTAGCATGGTCCTATCTCCATACCAAACTCAGTCAAACATCTATAGACATATGGGTAGGACTTTAATTTTGTAATAAAAAAATTCATACAATCGAAAAGATAATTACAGATAACTAATTATATTAAGTGCAATAAATTATCTAAAACTAATTCAAATAACCTGTTATCAAAGACGGACCTACTTGTACTATTGAGTGGGGGCGAAGTTATGTTGCCCCAAAGGTGGTCATCTTACCATCTTTCGCTGAAAAATTATACTACGTATAATTAAGGTAAAATATTACTTGTTATTAATTAAAAATAGACTTTGAACATTCTTGCATAGCCCACTGGCAAAGGGTGTTCAAAATTTAAACACCCTTATTGAATTCCTGGCTTTGTCACTGCCATTGAGGATCATCGGACTCCGTAAACTTTGATAGAAATCTTGTATATGTATCTGTGTACATCTTAAAATGATTAAATAAATAACTTGGCACCTTGAATACTTAAAGCCTTTAAGGGCACTAAAAAAAAAAATAATGATGCTCCCGTCACGTAAAAACCTGAGTCTGCCTCACTACCTGTTACAACAAGTTAATCATACTATAACTATCGTGCCTTAATTTCAAACAAGTCGGGATCGACTAATTAAAACTTTAAGCTAAATCCTATAGAAAGACATGTGGACATCTTTGACACCTTAGAACACACACTAAAATCACACAATAAAAACACTAGACTAGATATCCATAATCTACCCTATAGTGTAATAATTGCAACCCCAACTGCCATCCACTTCCACTTTCTTAAATGGTTTTGCCACCACACTGTCTACTTTTCCATAAATAATTATTCCCTTTCCTCTCATAAAACCCCAAAAATACTCCTCATTTCTCTCTCATATTCCTTTCTCAAAAATGAAGAATTCTCTACTCATTTTTACTCTCTTAACTTTCTTTTTCATTACAATTACCTTCACTTTTGCTGCTCAAAATGACAATGGTGGTGGATTTGGATTTGGGCCTGGTGGTGGATTTAACATACCTGGATTTGGTGGTGGTGGATATGGTGGTGGATTTGGAGGCCCAAAAGGAGGATATGCTAAAGGTGGTATTATAAGGCCCACTGTTGTTTGTAAAGATAAAGGCCCATGTTTTGGTAAAAAACTAAGATGTCCAGCAAAATGTTTCAAATCATTTAGTAGAGCTGGAAAAGGTTATGGTTATGGTGGTGGAGGTGGTGGTTGTACTATGGATTGCAAGAAGAAATGTGTTGCTTATTGTTAATAAGCATTAATTAAGTAAGTAATATAATATATATATATATATAATATATGTTTGAATTTTCTTTTTATTTATCTGATGCTGTTTTGAGTTTTATATTTGGTTTGAATGAGTTTTGTGTGAAAACTCAATGTATGGAAGCTAAGTTCTGCAGTTTCATATAGTATAGCAGAATTAATGATGAGATATTTCTGTGTTTGGAGGTGGTAATTACTATCTCGTTGTTGTTGTTGTTGCTTTTTTTTTTAATGACTTTTTCACTATTATATTTCATTTTCTTTATTGATGTGATCATGCTTGCATGAGCCGAGCGTCTATCAGAAACAACATATTTATTTGCACAAGGCAAGAATAAGGTTTTCGTATACACTACTTTGCTCAGACCCCTTTTGTAAGAATATATTCGGTATGTTATTGTTGTTGTTGTTGAAGCGGTAATAATTTTTTTTTTTTTTTTTGCTTGGCATAACGTAAATGAATTTTTATCTGCTACTATCTGGCTAATAGTATCAAAATTATAAAAGTTGGCCAAGGAAACTGAAAGAGGACTTTGTCAAAGAAACGTATGATTTAATTTCTTGATATGCGCATAAAATTACTACTATAACATGGGTCACTAGTGAATTGCTTTTTCCATCTTTGACTAATGAGTAAGCACAGTCCATCCGTTTCATTCAGAGGTAAGTAGTGCATTGTCGACGGGTTTAATTGAACCCATAATTTTTAACGCAGAGTAAAAATTTATTAAAATTGTAAAAATAGTAAATACGAACCCATGACTTTAAATATATAATGGGTTCAACGCTAAAAACTTCAAAAGTTGAACCCATAAAATTTAAATTCTGGATCCGCTTCTGGTTTCATTTGTATGATAACTTTGATGTGTCATCTCAAAATGTTAAAGTTACTCTTTCGATCCTTCCCAGCGTATGTGATAGTGTTCAACTGGGCATGAAGTTAATTTTTTTTTCAATTATGATCTTAAATAATTGTAGATATTTGTGTGACTGTAAAATTAACTTCGTTAAGGTTTTTACTAAATAAATCTCTTGATAAATAAAATTACAGATAAATCTCTTGATAAATAAAATATAAAGTTTAAAGTTAAATTATTCTAAATAAGAAAATATGGTATTTTTACTGAAACTGTTCAAAGAGAATGTATGCCAAATAAATTGGGATAGAAGGAGATTTATTGAGATATCCAATATGAATTGTGACTTATGATAGCAGGCCAATTATCATTTTTATCAAATTATCAATTAATCTTTATCAAGAGATTTATCTGTAATTACATAACATGTGACCATACATATTTCTACACACCATAGTACATATAACTTAAATTTTTTTCCTTATTAGTCTGTTTCAGAAAGAGTGATATATTTGTAAACTTGAAATAATCTAAATTTAAAATTTTCATTTATTCTTAAATAAGCTTTTATGACTACACAAATATTTTCATATGTTTAAGACAATTTTAAAATTTGTATAACCGCACAAATATTACTGCATATTTGGGAGTTGGGACTCACAAATTTTAAAAAAAAATCTTTTTTTTAATTAGGTGTCGAGTCAAATTACGTTAATTCTGCAAGAAGTAGAGGCAGACCTACATTATAGAATAAGGGGTTATCGGTACCCGTGAAGTTCGGTAAAAATTTTATATATACATAAACATGTCTTTAAAAATTAATAATATATTAATAGTGACACCCTATGTACAAAGCAAATTTTGATTGAATATAAATGTGTACCCGGTACTTTTAAATACTGGATCCGCCTCTGGCGGAAAGTACTTTCATCCACCTGCAGGTCTCGAGACAAACTTCAAAATTGTGAATAACATTTGGTGCTAGTTGGCCTAACATGACATTAAATAGAATATAAAATTTTAGAGAAGAATTCGAGGGCATGAAATGGAGACAAAATCTATCCAAACACGCGGTTTCCCATCTCCACTTCTGTTAATGGTCAGAATTGAAGACTATAACCGAAAGTTTTGTCACTTTGTGGGTTAAGACAACCCTCGCTAATAGGTGATTAATCAATGAGAAATTTTTATAAAGCATTATCTTTTAATAGTAATTAGTTATCTATAGATATCATTTGCTATATTACGGATTGTAGATACGTTTTCTGTTGTTATAAGATGTATTAGATATATTTAAGCTACTGTATTCATGAATACAGTAGCAAAAATAGGCGTGAATCAGGAAAGTCCAGCTAATCAGTTGTTGTATTCGAATGTATTCATGGCGTGAATCAGGAAAGTCCAGCTAATCAGTTGTTGTATTCGAATGTATTCATGGCGTGAAACATGGGATTATAGCTGAACAGATTATTGTATTCGACTGTATTCACGGCGTGAAATAGGTGATTACATTGTTTTTATACGGCAAGTGAATCAATTAACATAATAGACTCCTAATATAACTCAACAAACTCAATTAAAACACACAAATTTTGTATTTCCAGTTATAAAAAAGATTCTCAACCGAAAAATACCCCAAAAACATAGCAATCTTCAGAGAAATTATATAATACATCTGAATACATAAATTATATTAATTAAAAAAAACATATGAATACATTCATGGCATATAGCGAGACAGTAAATATAATGAAATACATAGAATACAGCAGGATACATTGAAATATAATAAAAAAAACAGTAAATACAATGAAATACATGGAATACAACGAGATACATTGAATTACGATGAAAAAATAGACAATCAATACAATGAAATACATGAAAACACAGTGTGATACATTGAAAATACGTTGAAATATATTAATAGAAAATCAAGTTGCTTAGCCCCAATGGGTCCCTGAATCCGATCCAATAAATTACCAAATGGCACCTCGGAACCAATCCGATCAAATCAGAAACAATTTGGTCAAGGTATATTTGAAATTAAGGATTGTAAAAAAGAGGGGAGAATGAATGCGTTTGATATAATATCAATGTCAGCTGGGTTGGATTTATCAGGGTTATTTGAAGCAAGGTTGAATAAGAAAGAGATGAGGTTTATAACGACTGCTCAAGTAGGGAGTATTGAAGAGAAGGTGATGAAAATTGATATTTGCCGAGAATTATTGACCCGCTTCCACCACCATCGGCGCTGTTTGTTCTTCTGATTTTAGAAGCAGAAGTGGTGGTGTGGCGGTGAGCATAATTGCGTCGGCGGGGAGGAGAAGAGAATAAAGAGAGAGGAGAGAGCGTGGGGAAGAGAATGGCATGTATCAAAGTAGAGAGAGAAAGAAAATAGTGTAACTGAATAGTGTATTTAGTGGCTTAGCGGTAGGAGGTAACCAAAATTAGATATTTTGCTATAAACATTAAAAGGTATTTATAAAATATAATTTTTTAAAATGATATTTATTTAAAATAAATAAGGTGTTAACCTTCGCTATAAGAGGTAAAAATTCCTTAATCATATGATTATCTGCTAAGTGGCCAACGGCAGAAGCTCAGGCGAGCAGTCATTTTCAATTTCATCTGGAAAAAATATGAAGAATTAAATTAAATTAAAATAGCCGTCGAATTGCTCAAATTACAAATAGCCGACGGATGCATACCATATGAATAATTCTTATAAATATGTGTATAATCATATATGATCAACGTATAATTTTTATATGCCGGCTAAAAAATAAATTATAAATCCGGCCAGCTATTTATGTACAGAAGTGTGATTTTAGATTCATTGTTAACTTTTCTATCATTAATTTTGGCTAGTTAAATAACAAATCTTGGCTATTAAAATACACATAGACATGTCACCAACCCCAAGTATCAAAATGCAATGAAGAAAGTTGTACTGAAGCAGATGGTAGCCCATCAGAAAGGGTGTATGATTATTAAGGTAAAATTCACAAATAACCACATTTTAACCTTAGTGAGAAATAGCCAGTGTCATAGAGCTTCAAATTATATAAGTGAAACTTCAGGAAATTATCATAAAATTTCACCAGCAGAATTTGAAATTACATGATGTCAAAAAATGACCAGTGAATGCTATTTCTACAATTATTAAAGCATATAAAGTAGTTGGGCAGTATAGCTGAGCCTGCAGAAGAGCAACTGTTAAGGGTGATCAACAGTTACAAAACCTTACGTTGGAGCAACAGTAAAGTCGTCTTCGTGTAACCTATAAGTTACTGGTTCAAACCGTGAAAGCAACCACTGACGCTTGCATTAGGTTAGGCTGTCTACATGCAACAGTAAAGTTGTCTTCGTGTAACTCTATTAGTCACGGGTTCGAGCCGTAAAAGCAACCACTGATGCTTGCATTAGGTTGGTCTGTCTACATCACACCCCATGAGGTGTTGTCCTTCCCTGAACCCCGCATGAACGCGGAATGCCTTGTGCATCGGGACTGCCCTTTTCTAACATTGTGTTAGAAAACCATTTAGCAGGAAAGACAGTACATCCGGCGGAAGGAAAAAACTTATTGTACCTTGTATTTATACCAAACCAATGAATACATAACACGTGACACATACAACGTTATCTGACTACATCATAGCTAATTAATATACATTCTATATAACTTTGATCGGTCCAACAGAGCCAGAAGGGCATGCCAAAAAATAGAAAGGCCAAGGTAAAAAAAGGAGAGATTTACATATCGCAAAGATTGTTTTTGCCAGATTTACAAAGATCTCTATATTTTTTTCTAAAAATCATTGTGGTCAAAGTAGTATAAATGAAGACATACATCACAAGAATGATAACTCAAAAATATGAAACAAGCATATCTGCCGGACTGAAGTGACCAAATTCTATATTTGCTACACCTCACCCGCGATTCACGATTATATTGCTGCTCTCAACGCCCCTCTAGCAGCTTCGCGCTTCATCTCTGCAGCTTTACCACTTCCTCGGAAATACATGTATACTTGCTGCATAATGAGATCGCAAGGAACAAAAATGTTACGTCTCTCACTCCCTGAGATGACAAGAATACTACTTAGTGTGTGGAGAAATCAGATAAGAGGGAGGTCATACCTGAATAACCCAGATGCTCAGCACTGATTCAAGACAAAATAGACCAAAACCGATGAAATAAAAAACCTAAAGGACAGAAAATAAAAGTCATGTTAATAGTCAGACTTCAGATGACTACTTAAGCAGGTTCTTTTTTCCTTCTCTTGTCGAAATTAATGAGGTTGAAAACGTACCCCAACAAGTACTTGTTTGCCGATGAGATCTACCGCAGGTAAAATGCCTCTGTTCCAACAAATTGTACAAGGTAAGATCACGGAAAACAGATAATAATAGCAACAACTTAGAGGAAAACCGGAGAGATCCAAAAGCAATTATCTAAAAAGAAGGGCTAGCGCCTGTTGCTACAAG